TTAAAAAGCATGTCTCTAGTATATCTATGTTCGTTATTACCGGATGTTAATTGTTTCCTTATATGACACAATTTCTTTCTTTTTTTTTTTTCAAACGTGACAGAGAGGTGATGATTTGATATAATATCCATTAAAGTTAAATTAGTCGATTGCATTAGGTCGTATTAAAATTTGAATAAGGTAAAAGATAGAGATAATTGGATAAGTCCATCTATGAAGAAAATGATTTTTTTTAGTACAACAAATCGGGAGTACGAGAGTCTGAACTTTCAATTTGAGAAAGAGTAGGTATCAATTAGCATTGAGATATGCTCATGTTAGTCATGAGAAAATGAGTTTTATAAAATAAAAAAAATGCATGAGTCATAGATTATGGTTTTTGAAAATGTGTAGCAAAACCTTTCTTTGGACGACTAATTTTCTCAATTTACTCAATTTCATCGAACTTAAACTGGTTAAAGTGTATATGTTCGATTAAAAAGTGAGGTTGGAATTCCTTACCTATAACATGTCATTGTACTAAATAAATATATATATATATATATATATATATATCTCTCTCAATCTACTAAGTTTCAACTCACTTAAACTAAACAATAAGCTTGTCATCTCATAATCTTTCTACCATATCCAGAGAAACATGTCATCTCAGGAAATTAATAACATTGGTTAATAGCAAAGTTTTAAATATATCAACGTATTAAATTTTTATCGACATGTCGACATTTTCATATACCCATACGTTCAACATTAACTTGAGGGATAAATTGACATTTCCATGGTATTATAAAAACATGGACAAAATATGGACAATATCAACAAAATATCAATAATATTGATATGAATCATTTTTAACTTATTTATAAATTGTGAAATACTTATTTGTTAATTTAAATATTTTTTACGATTTTTTTGTAACCTTTATAAAAATATCCATGATATTTTATCAATTCAATTACCGCTGAACTATGTTTGTTTTAGTTAATACATCGTTAAAATCATTCCAAAAACAAAAAATGAAAAAAAAAAGTTTTTAACCAATTATTGAAGCTAAGCGGAAATTGTATTAGCAAAAACTAAGAGGGGCCACTTGGCAAAATAGAAAAGGTGTTCTTTTCTTTTTTTTNAAAAGGTGTTTGAATTCTAAATTCATGACATTTTCATTAGACGGTGATGCTGACGCGATCACTCACGTAGTTATTACACCGCAACTGAAACGCAGTTATAGGCCGTATGATCTTAATCTGGGCTCAGAAATATCATGACGTGGAGCTTTATGGACCACGAGATGGAAAGTGGGACGCACGTGACTTTTTGAAACCCTTGGGCCCCATTTCTAACTGATCATCTGCCGAAGTTGAGTGCTGACCCCTTCGCTCCAAATTGTAATTTTAATATGTTTTTTTTAATATTTTAATGCATTTTTCTCTTAATTTTGAGGTTAAATTATGATCTTTAAATTTAAAAGTTGTACAAATGTCTATCAACCCTCAATCTTCGTCTCCCATGGACTCACAAATTTTTAAAAGTGATCCATAAATTGTGTGAAGGGCAAATAAAGTCGAGATCTATAATATATATAAGTGAGGATAATTATTCTATTAATATGAGATATCTTAAGTGAAACAAAAAGAAAAGCCAAATTTATGTCCAAAGTGGACTATATCATACATAGTGAAGATGTGGGGGTTTTTTGTTCACCATGGTCTAAATTTAGCTGTGTTGGTGAAATCTTCAAAGTCCAAACAAAAAAAAATGGATGAGCCTTACAGCCATACAAAACTATGGATGGATCCACAGATAGGATAAAAATTGCTTGAGTGGAGACGATTGCTATCGAGTAGAGTGGTAGACTGATGATAGGAAGGATGTAACTTTGTTTGAAGGGAGGGAGAGGAGATTAAAGGTGCGATGGTGTCCAACACCAAGTATATCCCACAATGTGATACGTGGTTGTGATCTATCTATGCCTGCTCGAACTTTGAATAAGAGCAAGCTTTTATTACCACCACAATGTGATTTGTGATGACACTTTGTGGGTGGAGGAATGACTATTCAAAGGCAAGATTCAACTAGTACTTTATTCTCGAGGGGAGGATTGTTAGAATTGCAAACAAAGTCCCACATTGATTAAAGAAGATTCATGGTATATAAGTAATGACAATTATCTTTATTCGTATAAGACGAACTTTTAGGTGAAACCAAAAGCAAAGTCATGAAGTTTTTTGTCCTTAACAAGATAAACTAAGAATATACTAGATAAAAAACTAAAAGTTTAATGATCTATTAAACACTTTTTAAAAATTAGAGGCTTATTATATATAACAATGAAAGTGTAGTGATTTATTAGATTTTATTTTTATATATGGTTTAGAGATTTATTAGACACAATTTTGAAAATTTAATGACCCAGACCAACGAGATAGAAATAAGAATGAGCGAATTAAAAATTTTAATTTGAAAATGTATTTCATTTATCTACTCCATTAAAATCAGCCTATTTTATTGTGCTGCATTATCAAATTATAGTCATTCAACATGTCACTTAAATATACAAGTAATAGTGTTGATATTATAATCAAAATACAAATTTAATTAAGTTCATAATTAAAACTTCTAAAATCTAAAAATTAAATACAAAATAATCATCCAAACTAAGAAATAGTTTGGTGGTTGGACCAAACCATCAAATGGGCTTATTGTGAATTAGTTTTGGAAGCCCATGGGCATAGTTCGCATGGAATTGTGACCAGATTTATCTCAATAACCCATTAGAATTTTGTTTGTACACTGATGTGATGCTATTCTCAATATACTCTGATACCTATATCGAACAAAGATTTTAGTTGAGTTGTGTAAAAGATACCTTGTGTCTCCGACTCCTTATTGGGTTGGTTCGGATGATCAGTTTGATCAGGCCCGATCGAGTACTCCAACCCAGATGGCTTGATCTAGATGCCTCGATCCATGTCACTTCCTTGATCTTACTTCAGGTGAACCTGGTACAGTAATTTCATAGCAAGATATGTCTACATCGAAATTGTTATGACTTCAAAAAGGAGTCTAATTCCACCCGAGGTGCCTGTGATAATTTTTGTTCCAATCTGATAATTTTTTGTGGGAGTTTCTAATTATCCAACCTAGACGTCCTTATTATTATAATTGTTTAGGCTTCAGAACGTGCAAGATACATAGACCTCTTGATATCTACTGTTGTGGTGCATTAGTTTTTCAAATCAAATCATATAATTAATTAACTCCTAAAATTTTAGGATGTAGTTTCATTTGATTCACTATTGTTTTTTAAAACCAAAAATTAAATAGACATTTTAATGAAATTATAATATAATGCAAATACAGTATTTAAAATAATAAAATTTGTAACAAATATAATTTAGATGCAACCTCGCTCTCTTCATTTTTTTTAGTATAGTAAAAAATATATAATTTAAAATACAGTGAAGTTAACTTCAATAATTGTTTAAGATATATATCATTGATTAAAATATTTGAGTTTCGAATCCTCGTCTAAAATAAAATAACAACACTAGAAACTGCAAATTTTTATTTTTTTATTTTTGAGAACAAACAAAAATAGTTATAATTCTGGAGATTACAGTGCTGTTTGGGAGTGTTTGGATAAACTAATTTTCTACTTTTATAATTAAACCATTTAAAAATCTTTTTTTAGTAATTGCTTTTGTCGAAATTATTTTTTCCCAAGAGTTTATTCTATAGAATTTATTTGTTTAGAATGCTTTTTTCCCTTCAAAATCATGAAACTACAAATAGTTTCATCGTGGATATAATAACTTTTTATTTTATGAGTGATTAATGAGTTTTTCTTTAAAATAATTTCAAAAATAAGAACAAATCGTAACAGTAATTTATAATTTAACCTTCTAATAAGTAATAAATTTGGTTAACTTTTGTTATGTGATAGAAATCGATCAAAGAAATGGACCTCTTCAGATCAGAGAAGCCCAACCAAGCAACGACGGAAGGAAGATCAAATTGACCAGGGTTCGGTCCTAACCCCTGCTCGACGCCGAACAGGACGCGGCCCATTGGTCGGGCCTACCTTCCCTCCTCTCCCATTGGTTGAGATGTCCCGATCCATAAGTCCCTGTGATCCAACAACAAAGAGTTATGTGGGCTCAACTAGAAGGTTATAGAATACAAGAATATCTATAAATAAAGTTACTGACTAAACCTTAGAGGTAAAGCAAAAATACCCTAATTACTTTACTATAAAATTTAACATATGAACATTAAAAAGTTCAAGTTTTGATAATATCTTTGAACTTTCACATATTTGATATGTCTAACTAGTCGGGGTAATAATTGACAATTGAAGTATGCTAAGCATCTAAAAATCACTCTACCTCATATTGAGTTGCTTGTTGTTGCCATGTGGCGTTGTAATTAACAATAGTTAAGTTTTACCAATCTTTTTTCGTTCATTTTCAATTTGTGAAAGGTAATAAATATATTTTTTTTCTATTGAGAAATATGCTCAAATTGTTTTTTTATTTATGGACGAATTTGTAATTTAACATGGTAACTAATAAGGAAGGTTTTAAAGGTTTTATTTTTGAATTTTGTTAAAATGACGATGAAGATATAGTCATAGATATTTCTTTTAAAATGGTAAAAATAAAAAATTAATAATAAATATTTAAATTAATAAATAAATATTTTATCATTATTAGTTAAAAATTATTAATATTAATAATATGTTTATATTTTATCGATTCTTTTACCTTCATTCTTATGTTGTGCCCCATATAAGATGTGATGAAAATATGGATCTATTCTTTTTCAGTACAACAATTATAAAAATTAGAAATCGAATTTTTAGATATTTTAACGGTCGAGGCAATAAAATAATATATAAGAAATACGGTAAATATTTTTTTTTTTTTTTTTTTTTAAAAATTTGACCTGAGAAATAAGGTAAAACTTAAAAGTATTAAGTTCGGAAAATCTGCGGCAGAAAATAATCAAGTTCGCGTACCACTAACAATGGCCGCTACGAGCATCGGAGCTCTGTGGAGTCTCAGAAGAGCAGCTCAAGCTTCGAGTTTCCGCATTCCCCTTGCCCTAAACCTCTCCTTCCACCAGGCCCGTTTTCCTCCTTCGCCGTCTTCTCCTCCGGGGTCGTCAGGTCTCGATTCCCTTTCTTCTCCATTGTTTCTTCTTCTACAATGCAAAATCCTCTGAATGCAATTACGAAACTATGAATTGTTATTGATTAGTAGGCGCATTTTTTCTCCAATTGCCCTGTGGTAGCTCACTAAGATCGAAATTGTAGAACAATTAGTTTTAGTTCGGGAGATAATAACCTTTGGATTGGGAATCAATTGGAAGTAAATTTCCATTTTTTTAAACTTATCTATGATTGCTTAAATTCCATTTTGAATTAATGGCATAAAGGGTGAGCATGATTGACGATTTCCATAATGTTCCTTGGTCTCTACTGCATCAAGTGCTTCTGCAGCGTATCTGCTTTTGTAGTTTTATTTTTACTCTAGGGTCTCATTCAATTGTGAAAGAGCACTTGAGCTTGCAGGTACCCAAGGGGTGCCTATGAGCTATGGGGTTCAAGCTTCCAAGTTAAAAACTTAATAATTTAAAGTCCACGTTGTCTCTTCGAGTCGGTCTTAATAGTGGCCAAAACTTCCCTAGAACGACATGAGTATAATGCAAGGAGTGAGACCTTTTGATACCTTAGATATCACAAAAAAAAAAAACATAACAAATTATGAGCAACGTAACCTTCGTTTGGCAAAAAGTACTTCCTGCCTGTCTCCTACACCTATCAAATCCTTGAATTATTTCATTGTGGAAATGTAGTAAGAATGCAATTTATAACTCTAAAAATAATACATATTGTACGTGGAATGGGATAAAGGCTCATTTGTACTTCTTCTCGACACAGTCCTTTATGGTAACCCAAATATTGTTACTTAAATGATTCAATATTTGCATGTTAAGAGTCCACCCTATACTGTTTCAGGAATATGTCAATTAGTGCAAGCTGTAAAAGGAGACATTGATGTTTTACTCAACGGAGTAGGAGATAAAGGTGTTATTGTAGATGTGAAGCATATTCTTGTGATGGTATTGGTTATCAAAAGAAATCCTTCCTTTCCCTTCTAATTTGATGAATTTTGTATAAAAACAGCAATACGATAACCCTTTTGTCTCTTAGTTGTGAGGGATGATTCTGATTCTTCACTCTTTTGGTTTCATTTAGGCCAAACGTTCATTGTCAAGACGAGAAGTTCTCCATACGAACTTTCTCACCCCACCTGTGGTGAAAGAGTCAATGCTAGCTATACAAAAACTAGCTGACGTGAAAGCAATAGCTCAGGGAGGATACCCAGAGGTGAATATAAAAGTTTTGCTTCTCTCTTTTTTATTTTTTAAGTTGGGGCTTGGGTTTATGAATCTAAGACCTCTTGCTGATACCACACTTCTTTCAAGTTGACCAAATGTTTAGGCAGAGCGCTGCCGGATTTCTGTTGGGCATGCAGATGAACTAACAAGTGATCCAGACATAATTTCGGCATTGAGGTATCTTTCTTTAATCTTCTGCATTAATCCATTTTATCTTAGCTTTGGAAAAATCAGTTGTTCTTTTGTTCTTTCTTCTTCTTAATATAGTTTTCCTTCCCAGTATCACAGGAAATTTTACGTTTCACCCTTGCTCACACGGGGACTTCCTTGGATCAATTCTTGGTACAGGAATTGCTAGGGAAAAGCTTGGCGATATCATACTCCAGGTATCATTGCATTCAGTATTTACTTTGTATCCATTTGAAGTATAGTTACAACTGTCTGTTCTTATTCTTTGTGCACATTGCTACTTTCGGTTTCTTTTAAATGACTTGTGTTCTTTGTTTGAATTTGACTCATCAAGTATTATAAATGCATTACACTTTGGCTCTCTGCATTTGGTTCTATAATGAAAAAGTAGAATTATCTTTAACAAATCCCAAAAACGGATGGTAAAATTTGTGTTTCGGGTTATCATGCTCTGCCACCTGACTGTGTCCAGAACTTTGATCTGAAATGCTACTTCTTAAAATCTATGTTTCACTCCATCCACGTGGAACAAAACTTTATGAAAAAAATTACGCTACAATGTCTAATTCCTTGCCTTGTCTATATGACTATATCCACAAGTACCTTTGTGTATATCTTTTAGATTTTTTATCCAAAGCAGCAACAAGGTTATCGTGAGCCATGTTTCTTTTATTCTCTTATTGTTACCATATTTTCAGGGAGAAAATGGAGCTCAAGTAGTACTTGTTCCAGAACTCGTCGACTTCCTTATATCGTCACTGCGCAAGGTAGTGTCATTGTCCTGGGTGATTGCTTCTAACACGATGACACAAAAATTAACACAAGAATGAAATATGTTCTTCCTCTGGGTGCATTTCTCGTGTGTTTAAACTATAAATACATATTTTGGTGAAGCCTACATAGCCTAATAGATACTCAAACTATTTGTATATTTGCTTCATTGATATCTTTATTTGTTATCTTTTTTTTTTTAAATGTAATTATTTGTTATGGCATTCTTAATTTCAGGTTGGTAATGTCACAGTTTCTTGTACGAGGATTCCGTTGACAGCTCTTGATTATGAACCACCAAAGTATGAAGTTATATCAGTGATTTTCATATTGGTTTCCATGTTTATTTTGATGTACTATTTTATTTTCTCCTTTGCAGGACTAAGACATTTAACACCATTGAGGCATCTCTTAGGGTGGATGCTATAGCAAGTGCTGGGTTCAAGATTTCACGGTCCAAACTAGTGGATTTAATCAGGTACAACGGCTTCTACTAACCAACTGATCTTTCACATTGCTATCATTTGTAGAATAGAATGAGTCAATCATGAACTTTGGTATCTTATTGAAAAAATGGTGATGTTGTTTCTCCATTGATCAAGTATTTCAATTTTTAGGAAATATCATGATCATCCAAGAAGAAGGGTTTCAATTTTTTTTTTCAAATGAATGATTCGAAGAATATTTTCTAAGTTTCTACCCTGAAAAATAAAGGAATAATTTATAACAATTTTTGGTTTTTGTGTTGTTGATTCCTAAGCATAGTGTTTCCTCTCCTCTACTGCCTATTTTAGTGGAGCATAGTTGTCTTAATCATCGGTTACACCTTTTGCTCAATATTAAAATGGGCAATTAAAACATATGAAGTTACATTAAACTGGGTATACACAACAAACTCTCATAATAATGTAATGCTTTGCTTATATTCTTTGTTGAATTACGGCATCGAAGTATTTGTAAGTGGTTAAAACGTGCCATCATATGGTAGTGAATGATAATAGATAACTTTCTCAAAGTTTCTGGGGAATAGGGTGTAGCAATGTATTATCTTCCATTTCTTTTGTGAAAGTACATGAACCTGAAGTTGTTATATGAGCAGCAGTGGTGATGTTCGTGTCAATTGGACACCGGTTACAAAAAATGGAACCACACTGAAGACTGGTGATGTTGTTTCTGTTAGTGGTAAAGGCAGACTAAAGGTGAGCTTTTCAGCTCAATGGAAACTGAAACTAGTTGCACCGAGTTTATATATTTGCTAACTTAGCATTCCTGACTTCTGGTTATTTTCCTCATATTCAGATTGGAGAAATAAATTCTACGAAAAAAGGGAAATTTTCTGTTGAGCTTATCAGGTACGTGTAAGCTCTGGCGTTATTGGATCGTTTCGAGTTGAACCAAGTAAGATATCAGTAGCAAAAGCTCCCTCATGAACATCATGATTCCTTCTTTGGGAAGAAGGAAGGTAAGTCACTGTTCAACATGACACGAACCTGATTGTACATAAAATCTGAACATCCATTCATCCATTCTTAAAAATTTTGCATTTGGAAAATTTATCTCTTCACATTTCTATGCCGGGAAATATTGGTTCTTTTGTCTTTGGGATGTGTGATTTTATGTCCCTGGAATGGAATTTATTATGCAAATTAATGTTGTCAAAGGGAGGGAATGTAAATACAAAAGTTATAGCTTCGCAGTAACTATTTGTAGATCCAATGATATTTGACCTATTTCCATCCCGTAATATGCAGTTATTAATGTATATTGGTTGTTGTACAACTATCAATTTTTGTTAATTACTGATTTAGTTTTCAAGTCAATATGTTGTTTGATAATATTTGATTCCATTTTCCCCTGTCTCGTACCGTATCGAACAAGAGGTTATGTGTTCAAATTCCTGAAATATCATTTTCTTGCAGATTAGACACTTGTTCGTTCTTATATTGATTTTTAAACCCATAAATGTTAGTTTTGGTATCCCAACTTATCGGCTTAGGCTTGTGTTGGTGATTTAATATAGACAAAGAATTTTTACAAATTTGAAGCAGAAGTGATGTACAAAACTGAACTCTGATGTTAAAATAACACAAGAGTATCCATTATTTACTTTCCTTACAATACTTCAAAAGCGAAAGCCAGTACAACTATTCTAGTACAAACAAAAATGCTATTGCTTCAATTTAATCAATGGCAGAGGGAGGGAGAAAACAGGGGAAACTTACTGAATGGAACAGCAGACTTGAATGTAATTATAAAAAGTAGTTCCTCATTTCAGATTTCTGAGAAGGAATTGATCGTCTGGAACCCATGTTTATCAGGCAGTGGACCATTTCCTGGTCGGATTGAAATTGCCACCTCCAGCCCTGAAACGTTGATTTACATTTGAATCGATAGTATAAAATTAGTAAATTTGCGTTACATCGGTCCAGTAAACTTCCTATTACTAACATTTACAGAAAGTTGATGACAAAGACCAGCTTGACGATTCCTTGGAACTTTGTAAGTAGAAATGTCGAATTTGAAAACTGGGAAGACAGTTTTCACAGAAATCTTTCAGCCAATTGGAATTCCTCTGGAAAATTTCTCACAAACTAACAGCAAGCAAAAGCAAAAGGTAGAACCTCGTTACCTGCTGCTTTTGCTGCTACAGCTTCTTGATAGACATCTGTGATGAACAATATTTCTGATGGCTTGTCCACTCCCAAATACTCTGAAATCTCAACATAACTGCTTATTTCTCTTTTGTTCCTGAGATCCAAGTGCAGTTCCATGTTTGTGATATGAGTATGATTAAAACATTGAAAAAGAAAAACAGCCATTGATTTACCCCACAGCAGTGTCAAAGAATCCTGATAAATATTTTCTTAAATCACCATAATTAGTCTTCCCAAATATAAGCCTTTGCGCCAACCTGCTCCCGCTCGAGTATATGTAGACCTATAATGCCAGAAATGAAAGAACATCAATTCAAATATTGGATTTTTGGATTGAGAGAGATTTGAAAAAGATTTTGATTCCATTAGTAATAAGGATTCAAAATTGGTATGTTTCAAAGGTTGGGTTGTTCAGCCATTAAAGCAAGATGTGAGTTGGGTTCTAAACATTGTTAGATAGTTCAGTCTATATCCGATGTGGGAGTTAGAGCTTCAGGAGGACCTTCCCTGGCTAGTCCAAATAGCAACTTGTCAATCCATGTGACATTCACTTGTTTTTGCATCAAGTGACCGGTTTTAATGAAAATCGAGATGGGGGAATGGAATGTAAAATCAAGATGGGGGAATGGAATGACCTTAACGCCCAAAGCATGCCATCTCGCGAGAGACTCTGGCACGTCATCGAAAACTACCCCCTCTAATTCATTGCTTGAAAATCCAGTTCTCCATATGTGACCCTGCATAGCTAGAAGTCAGCTAACTCAGAAAATCTGCTAAATGAATAGCAGTAAGATGAACTCAGAAAATCATTTTAGTTGCATACTTGGAGTTGTTTCAAGGCAGTTATCTTGCGGTCAGCTTTTATCATTGCTTCAACATTAGCAACCAATGCTGCAATGACTTCCTCTTTCCCAGCATTATCAGCAGGAATAGGCACAGCTCCATCAACACCATTTTTCAAGTCATCTTCAACCTGAACACATTTTTGTTGATAATTACAAAGATGTCCATTCCTATGGCAACAATTGTAACTGTATTTACTGTACGTCCAGTTGTCGAACCAGAAGCATCGATTGGTTTGACTACGAGATGCAAATCCATGTAGGATGCTTGCCATCAATGACATAGTCATTTATCAGAAAAATTTAGGGTATGTTTGGAAGTTGCTTTAAGAAAATACTCTCTTCTCTATTTAAGAACTATCATTGAGCTAACAAAGAACAACAATCTCCAGTTAAATACTGTAAATGGAACATAGACATTCTACAGATTGCAACATAATCAAAAAACTGTTGAACCGAAATATCTTACTTGTGAACGCAACAACTTAATGTCGTCTTGAGCTTCTGCTGTGTCGTATGCTAAAATCAAATGCTTTGCGACATTATCACGAGCATATGGAAAGAGTACATCAGTAACAAAAGATATTGGAGTAGTAGTCCCTTCGATATCAAGAACTACGCACCGCTGCATCCAAAAATATAAATGAGAAACTAACTGCAATCGAAAGGAAGACCAATTGAACTCAAACCATTAACAAAAACCTGCAGCCCAGAAATGGCGTGCCTAAAATGAAAAACTAAAAGAAAGAAATCTTTAGCTTCCCAAGAAATCTTTAGCTTCCCAATTAAGTAGTAGAATGCAATTTAACATTAACTCACTGGTAATACTTCGTTTCTATTATCTAAACCTTGAGCCCTGGCCTTCACAGAAACGTCGATGCCTGCATTATTTCTCGAATTTCCTTTGATTCTCTGAGTCGGACCCTGAGTCGGAGAAGACTAATCAATGCCTAGTCGATGAAGCTTAATAGCAGCATCAAAGAGATAGTGATACAATCAGCCTGTAAGATTTAAGTTATTGATTAAACTGAAACCAAATGCTAGAGCAAGACAGACCCAGAATCAATATCTTGAAATTTTATGAAACTTCCTTTCATCATCTTCAAAGGAACTTCTTATTAGAAGTATCTTATCAAATAGAAGGGGATTGATAAGAAAAAATTAGTTACAGACTTATAGTGCTGAAGCAAACTTGAAATGGTACCTTCATAGAAAGAGGTGTGCAATCAAAACAGTTTGGAGAGTTATGTGGATATGGCTTCGGAGGTGATGAAGATAAGATAGACCCACCATGAGATAACACATACATATCCTCTGGCACCATTCTCTCCTTCTGAACACCTATTTGCAATCCAACAAATAAGAAAATGGAGAAACAAAGGAACAAGCTCTCTATAATCTTATGCATGGAGTTTAATTGTATAGTCAAAAGAGTGCTGTTAGAAGAACTAAACGAGGAAGCCATTAATTAGAGCAAAAACTTACCCAGAACTCCTAAAAATTATCCGAAACATTCTGAAGAAACCAAGAGCAATCATGGAAAAAGCTGCCCAAAGGAAGGGCAATACTCTCTAGAAGTCATCCTAAACATTGCCCCGAAAGTAAAGAAAAGGAAAGCAAAGACAACTGAAAGCAGAGTGGACGCAGAAGGATTTGCCTTAACAACAGAAAATTCAACCAAACAGAAGACAAGAAAATTGGGGAAACCTCGAAAATCACTTTTCCACTAGGTAAACAAATTCAATAAGCTCGATTGGATGCAATTCGAGTAACAAAATGCCCATAAATCGTAAGAAGTAAAACAAGGAACAGAAGAATCGAAAAAGAGGGAGAGAGAGAGATGGAGAAATGTCCACCAGAAGCCGCCATTGCCATTAGCTGTTGTCTTTTGGGAATGGAGTAGCCGTGAACCTTGATGGCGATGAAACCGCTGGCGCCGGTGCCGGAGACCCATCGGAGGCCCTGGAATTGGCGGCAGAGCTCCGATAACAGAGCGTTGGTGTCGTTCACGGCCGTTCTCTCCAAATAAGCCTGAAAAGTTGTAGCCAACTTCACTCCATTGACGCCCACAGCTGATGCAATTGCCATTTGAGTGATTCACAGAGAGCAGAGAAGAAGGATTGAGAATGGCTATAAATTATCCATAATTTTTTAAAAAATATTTTCATAATTTTGTATTAAAAATATTTCGTTGTGTATAAAATTGGTGTCATGATTTTGTAAATAGAAACTAAAATTAACATATTATTTTTTGCCAATTCGATCATTAGTTAAACACCTATTTCTCATCAGAAAACTGTGAATTCGAATATTTACCTAGTATCAAATCACGTTAGGCATAAATGCAAACATATATAAAGTAAAAAGATCAATTTTTACCATGAACTTGAATAAGCGTGTTGCATTTCACCTAAAATTTTAAAAATGATTGCAATATTTACTATTTAATAGACTTCCATTAGAAGAATGGTTGAAAAAAGTACTATCATATTTGTTAAATAGTTATGAAACATATAATTAGTATGAAGTGGATAGAATTCATACAGAAATGACATTAGAGTTGATTTTATTTTAATGTTATTAGTATTAACGGAATTATTTAATGATTGTTTTATTTGAATTAATCAAACTTAACTTGAGAAAAGTTAAATTTTTGTTAAATAAGTGGTTTTTTTTTGTCATTTTTATTTTATTTTTTCCTTTGGTTTGTGTATAAATTAATTAATAGGTAAATTAACAAAAATTAAATAGGGGGTAAAAATTACAACAAAATTTATCTAAAACTTAGGGTTGAGTCTGTAGAAATTGAAAATTCATTGTGAAAATTAAAACAATTTGATGAGTTTAGGGTAAAAATGGTTTCTTCCACTATAAGTTTACATGTATTTGTTATACACATCCAAATTAAGTAATATTGAAAACTTTTTTTTTTTATAAGAAGTAATATTGAAAACTAAACTATAATAAATCATTATGCATTTTTTTTAAAAAAATCATCATGAATATTAGTTTATTTAATATAAATGTTAAAAATTATTGTGAAGCAAATACTAAAAATTATGATTTTATACGTACATAATTAGTTTCTTCAAAATAAAATATGATTTATGTCAACAATTAAATAAATAAAATAAAATCTAAATGAATTATCCATGCAAATTCAGGTAAAAGATATTAAAATTTAAAATATTTAGTAAAGGTTTTTTTTTAAAAAAAAATTAGATTTGTTTTTATATAATAGTTGAAAGAATAAATTTTCAAAATTTAAAAGTTTAATTAAACAAGAAATATATTTTTTATTTAAAAATAAAAATAATATCTCTTCTATCATAAATAAATAGGAAAAGAAAAATATATCAATTTACAAGCTAGAGGTTCGAATATAGGACGAGGGACTAGAAGCTAAATAGTACGCCAGCAAGTATAGTATATATTACTAAATATCCTTGGTTCCTTCATGGATCCGCCTCGTTAAGAAAAACACATTATTTTTTTAAAAAAATATTCCAATAGACTAAAAGAGACCTATGACAAAAATAAGATTTAAATCACTCTTGTTCCAATATGACTATTTTAGACCCAATTATGTACACCAATTTCGAATTAAGTAGTTTTTTTGTCTTTATTATTGATTTTTATTCATGAAATAATCACCTCGTTTGTTTTGCTCTAATTCACCTGTTTATTTAGTTATATAAGTTTCATCCCAACTAAAAAAAATAAAAATAAAAAATCATATTTTAGAAGCAATAATCTAAATCAAATGGTATTAGGTAAAACTTTTAATAATTTTTCTTTTGATACTAACTTTTAATAACTTATTTTCTATAAAAAAAACTTTTAATAACTTATTTAATAATAGTTTTGTTGCTGAGGAGTAGAGAAAAAATTATCAACATGAACGTAACTGAACCAATCAAGATATTTTTTACTTTCAGATTGAAGATTTGAATCTTATACCGTAATTCTGTGTTAGAATCAAAATAAAAAGTTAAAAGTTAACAAATTTGAGATTATGTCAGATAAATGACTAAATAAAAATTTTGATTGTTGGAATGTTTTTATTTTATTTTTATGTTTTCATAGATTAAACTTATTTACTTATCTTTTTTCCTTATCTTCTATTCCATTTAGAAACTAATAAAATAAAATAAAAAACCTCTCTACATATACATCTTTGTTTTTAAATATTGGCTAAGATTTTACTTTAAGCAACTCAACAAAGTATTATCTCCGACTAAGAGGTTGTGAGTTCGAATCTCCACCCTACATATTGTACTAAAAAAAATTACAAGAGATACCAACAAAATCATTATCAAACTATGCCGAAATATTTATTTTTAATTATTTCTTTCCATACTACAATTTCTAAAACCTTCCACTACACCAGAAGTGGAACATCGTTTACTTCATTAACAGATTGATCCATTTTGATCCATTTTGCATACAAAACGAGCAACACAAGACAAACGTTTTGCAAGGAGAGACCACAGATGTATCCGATCCACAAACCCTGCATTCAGTGTAAAATCAACAAAAGAAAATGAATATCAACTGTTACAATACCTCAGTAAATGGTCATCCTTTCAATTAAGGTCATCTTCAACCAAGGAATTGATTACTCTCTCCCTCCTATTCGTTACTGTCAATATTCTGTATTTATGTTTGTTTCCATCCTTGTATAACCAATTTGGTAGCAGACCATGTATACATGGAAATAAGATCATTGTAATAATTCCAATGGTGGACTATATAGCACCCACCTTCACCTTAATGCAAAAGTAGCAAAAAAGACATTTTCTCAAAAATCTTATTACTTTTAGAATTCTCAGTTGGTATCAGAGCTTGCAAAGGCCAACGCCGACATGGCAAACGAAGGATCCTTCGGCTCAACCATAAACAACTCTCAACAAGTCAATCCCCAATCAGCCATCAACATATCATTCGGTCACCCTCTAAGCACTGTTCTCACAGTAAAGCTTGACGACAAGAACTACACACTATGGAAAGGAATGGTCCTTGCGGTCTTGTGAGGGCAAAAGGTCGACGGCTATGTTCTCAGGACAAATACATGTCCTTCCAAATACACTACGACAACAAGTGACATTGGAACGTTAGAACCAGCACTCAAT